AGCAACTCATGGTTCTCGGCGGGTCAGGGAACCAGAACCCACCGCTACTCCATTTTTTTTAAATTGTTGGTCCCGGTTATACAAGGTACAATCTAGAGGGGGTGAATAAATTGTACTGGGTTTTAACTTTTTCAAGTTAAGTACCAGATTTAACAGAATAGCCTGTTCTGTTGAAGAACAGACTGGCAGCGGATGGTCTTCAGGTAGGGGTTCTGTCCGGTTAGCCTCAAAGAGATGCAAAGGTAGTAGGCCTTCTGTTAACTCACAAGACGAGTTCTGCTGAACACGGAGACCAAGTCTTTTGGAGTTAATCAGTTGAAAGTAAATGCAAGTATTAAGAGCAGTAAGTAAATGACACCAAGGATTTTTATAGTGGTTCAAGGAACAACGTGTTCCTCTAATCCACTGTTCCACTGAGCTTGTAAAAACACAGATTGCATAGCTTTAGCCCTAGCACTTAAGAATCTCTCCACGTCTTCTTCAAGTGTATATGTCTCCTGGGATGCACTTCCTCGCTTCCTTTAAGACTGGTCCTTTCACCGAGTTTCCTTGAAGTATCCCCACTTCACTACTTCAGTTACTTTGGACGTCCTTCTTTGATAAGAAGATTGCTTTGTAAAAACAAAGGTTTCTCCAACTTGCTTCGTCACAAAAGATGCGTAGATGAGGTGTTTGAAGTGTTGAAGAACTGGAGGAACTTTGCTCTTTATTGGAATATGAAGATGTGAAAATATTATCTTTCCAACTTAAGACTTTTCTTGTTTGAATGTTGTAGAGAGAGCAAAAGTTATCCGGTTGTTCTTCGTGTTGTATCATATATACTAGGGTTGTCTTACCGTTGAGGAATGAGACAACTGCATTAAATGCGCGTATTGTAGAGTTGACCGGTTGGTCCCACAAGGCTGGTGACTTGCTATTTTGGGAAGATATTCTCCAGGAATCTCGGTCAATCATCAGCTTTAATATCTCAACGTATAGAGCTCATTAAATGAGCATTAAATGCTATGTCATGTAGCTTTTCCGTTGAGGAGCTCCTAGCCGTTAGCGAATATCCTGTTAGATTAACCGGCTTTGCTAGATTGAGAAATAGCTAAATGTGGGGACTTCTGGTGCGTTGTGTAGAGGGGCAATTCAAGAGGGCCTCGAGCACTTCTGTCAGGATAAAGTCTAAAAGAGGACCTGGTGGTCTTCTGTCCAGTCGACTATACTAAAGTGCTTACACTTAGAAAAATTCTAAAACAAAATTCTAACGGGGGTACTCTAATATTCTAATTAGTCTAACATCATCAAAATATAAATACAATTATTCCTTACAATTTCCCTTGTTTTGATGGTGCCAAAACCCTTATTCTACTTTCAGAGAAGTGCCTTTCACCATAAAAATTAATAAGTTAAAAACTTTCATTTTTCACTCTTGGTGGGCAACTTGCATAGAAAGCAGTATGAGTTTGAAAAAAACAGCATCAGAGCAAACAAAACACAAAAATTAGGGCACAGTTAGAACATAAGAGATAATCAGTTGAGTAATTTTAATATGCAGAGGAGAAGGATAGAGTACAGGGATGTTCTGTTACACATTTTACCTTATTGCTGCTACGAGAGCTGCAACTTCTTTTGCATCTATGGATTTGAGTTCTTCATTAACTTTTACTCTTATCACAGCAAGATCTCCAGTCTCTTGAAGGGAAGCCCATGAGGGAGAGAGCTTACAGTTCAGATAATGTAAAACTGCCTCATGAACTATTTTTCCTGCGAGTACCTTCCTGTTATACCAATGTTCTGCTTCTTCTAGAGATCCTCCATATCTAACTTCTACATTTCTAGCTATGTCCATGTAGAGATTTTGTTGTTGTGTAGGAGTCATCTTCTTTTTCATTTCTTCAAACTGATCTCTGTCAATCTTCTGAGATCCACCCATTCTCCATTCACTGAAGGTCAAAGCCTTCTTCTTCTTAGAAGTCTTCTTAGGAGGGGATTGGGGCCTAGGTATGCCAGCTGCTCTCTATTTATGAGTGTGAGCTTCAAAGTAAGGTGCAAGATCAACAGGAAAAGATCCATGAGTTGAGGTTTTTGCAAATTGCAACTTATTGGGTTGGGAGTCCTATTCCCCCTTTTTGGAAGCATGTAAGTCTGTAAGCAGCATGCCCAGTTTTGCAAATTCAATGGCATGAGACTTGCCTAAATCTTCAATAGTGTTGGAGATAGAGTTGGTGACTTCTGCAAGAGTATCTAGCAAGCCCTTCTGTTTCTCCACATCATGAGCGATGTCCTTTGTGTTTGTCTTAAGGAGAATGAGCTTCTGGTATCTCTCCTTAACAACTTCTGCAAAAGCTTCAGCCTTCTTCTTTGTAGCAGTGCAGAGGGCTTCAATTATGTTGAGTTGTTCAATCTTCTGTGCATCTGACTTCTTCAGCAAGTCAACAGAAGAGGCTAAGGAGGAGATGGTCTTCTCCTGATTTGTAATAATATCTTGGAACGAAACCAAAGTCTTCTGAATTCCATCAACAAAGATGGCTAGAGCAGCAGATCTGTTATCTGATGATTTTGCAAGATCATCTAAGGATAGTTTCAGAGACTTCAAGTATGTTGTGACCATGGTGCCAAATTCTCCATCTGCATGGAGAAGTCCTTCAGAGTTTCTGTTGGGACAGCTCTGCTTCATACCCAGACATGCCCAATCTTCTTGACTGGGGCATTGGAGGCCTTCTGGGGCTATGCTCTTGAGCAGATGAGGAGAATATCTGTTGGAACACTACTTCTTACTCACATACCAGAACGGAGCTGACTGCACTTTGGGTTACTCCCAAATAGAGAATAAGCGTTTCGCCGACCTCGGGTTTGCTAAGTAGTAAATCTAACTGCAAGTATCTTTTGAGGTCCTCAAAAGCAGTTTGGCATTCTTGGGTCCACTCAAACCATGTACTCTTTTTCAGGACTTGGAAAAATGGTAAGGATTTATCGGCTGATCTGGATAGGAATCTCCCCAGGGCTGCCAATCTCCTAGTAAGGATTTGGACTTCTTTCACATTCTTGGGGGTTCAATCTCCAAGATTGCCCTGACCTTCTCCAGATTAGGCTCGATGCCCCTGTGGGTCACTATAAATCCCAGAAATTTCCCACCCTGAACCGCGAAGGTGCATTTTTAGGATTAAGTCTTAGGTTTACCTTTTTCATGATGCCAAACACTTCCTTGAGGTCATCTGCGTGATCCCCTGCTTTCTGACTTTTCACAATCATGTCATCCACATATGCCTCCATGTTTCTTCCAAGTACAACTCAGAAGACCTTGACCACCATTATGGTATACGTTGCTCCGGAATTTCGTAGCTCAAAGGCCATTACCAGATAACAAAATACTCCTTTCGGGGTGATGAAGGAGGTCTTCTCAGCATTGTCGGGGTGCATGGAGATCTGGTGGTATCCCTTGAATGCGTCCATGAATGAAAGGAGTTCACATCCAGCTGTTTGGTCCACCAATTGGTATACTCGGCAGAGGGAAAGGGTCCATCGGGTAGGCCTTATTCAAATATGTGTAATATATGCACATTTTCCATGTCAGTGGCTTTGGGGTCAACACCAAGTTGGCAAGCCACTTTGGATATTGTACTTCTCTAATGTGCTTGATGCCCAACAACATGCCTACCTCCCCTTTTACAAATTCCTTTCGGTCTAAAGACTGATACCTTCGCTTTTGTTTCATAGGAGTTGCTTTCGGATCGATGTTCAGTCAGGGAACAACTATGCTATGGTCAAGACAGAGCATATCCTCAGGTCCCCAAGCAAATATCACCTTGAACTCCATCAAGACCTGTACTATTTTTGCTCTCAGGTCGGTCGGAAGCCCTACACCAATCTTAACCTAGCGTTATGGCCGACAGGGATCAACTCCGACCTCCTAGAGCTCTGAGACGGGTTGAGCTCTGCATTTCCCTTCCTCATACTTCGACAAGTCTTTCTCGATGGCTTTAACCCTCACCCATCATTCCTCATGTGAGCTTTACAGACCCTCACATAGCAGCTTCGTGTCATCTTCTCGTCTCCCCTCACCTTGCCTATCTCAGCTGGTGTGTGAAATTTCATGCATAAGTGAGCTTGGGAGATGATGGCTCCCAGATCTTCCAGCAGAGGTCGCTCTAGGATGGCCTTATGAACGCTTAGCAAACGTACAACAACAAAATCTGCTTCAATGATTCGCACACATGGCTCTGACCCGAGCTGAATCTTGAGGTTGGTTAACCCTCTCAGTTCAATTACGTCTCTTGTAAAACCTGAGAGAGGGATCGTTACTGATGAGCTAGAATTTTTACTTCTTTTTTACATTATTTTATTACAATTCTAAGCTTATTATTTGCCTACTTGAGAGGTTTGAGTCTTACTTTTGTGTTGAAAATGATTTTTAAAGTGCAACGGTTTTAATGGAAGGATTTGAGGATTTATTGATAAACCTTCAATACCAGTTGATAAACCCAGAATACTAAACAATCAAACATTCAAAGCAGTTAAAGAAGAAGCAGATAGAAAGATATGGAGAAGATGAACCGAATCTGGTATACCGTATGAAACCTCGCTGCTCTCCCTGGAGAAGGAGAGCAGCGGAAACCCTACTCTCTCTCTATCTCGCCTCTGCGTCTCTCAAAGCCTCAAAAACATTAGTTAGGGTTCCCGTAAGTTAGCTTCCTTTTATAGGAGAAGTTGGCTAACTTACGGGTTACAAAGAAGCTAACGGACTAATACACATTTGTGGCCCGTATTACACGTTTAATTAATAACTACATAAATACAAAGATATTTAATTAGATTGGACACCATAAAATATTCCTAACAGGCTGAATTGAGAAGAATAGTGCCTTTTTATTTGGAGTGCAAGTCCAGGGACTATTTGTAAAGTTGGACTTATTTTCAAACTGAAACAAAAGAAAAGAGGGGCTGCATCCACGCACCAGCAACCCAAAATCAAGAGAAAAAGGACAAAAAAAGCCCAAGAACAAAGAGGAGTGCTAGCGGGTCTACTTTAAAAAATGCTGGAACGGTTGTTTTCCTGGCTGATAAAAACCGCAGCAGTAGGGTTTTTGGGTGGATTCGGGCTGCCAAGGCTGGTTGGGAAGGAGAGCCGAGCTGCTTAGCCGCTCTCTGCGTACGAGGATTCTTTCTGCAAAAGAGGGAGTGCTGGCCGGAGAAAATTCTTGGAATAGAGAGCTGCATAAATCTGGAGGCTACCCTTGTGGGAGATTTTCTCCACTTCAGGGGTTAGCTTAATTGTGTTAGAGCTTTGGTTCCTTGCTTCTGGTATTTTCGAATTTAGCAGTTCGGTAGTTTGCTGCTTCTCTCAATTTTGACCATTAAAATGGTTGAGGTTGTTCTTGCCATGCTTGTTATTTTAGTTAACAAATTTATTGTTATGAGTAGCTAAATTCTTAAGTCCGGATTATTATGAAATTGCTATGATTTAGTATAAATTGTGATTTTAGTTATGTCAATTGATTGAGTTTTATTCATTGTTTTTATTCGCTTAATTTGTTGTGTTAACTTCCGGCCAATTTTAATATGATTAATTAAGTTATTTGAGTGGATTAATAGAGTACATGTCATGCCTATTAGTTCAAGCTCTTTTGGATAAAAGAATAGATAATTTAGCTGTCTTGTTAGGTTATCTATTTGGTTCTTGAATCGGGTTTCCGTAGTTCTTTTGTGACTAATGGATTTTAACTATTGAATTAATAATTTCTAATTGATTAATAGTTAAAATACATGACTTATTCTGGACGCCATACGGAATAGTCATATTTTTGTCTAGAATGAACCCTCAATTTCAATTGAATAACTAAATCACAAATACTAAAAATTAGTGACATATTCATAATCCTGGACTATCTTTTCTTTTGCTAAATTCTCAATCATTTTCCCGTTAGTTGTTTAATCATTTTATTTTCATTCATTTAAATTCCTGGCATCCATTTTAATTCAAGCTTTACTTTTCAGTTTCAAATCAAATAAATTCAAAATTCATTTTTTTAGTTAGATTAATTTCACTTTTATTTTTATTAATAGTTTTCTAATTACTTAGTTGCATTTTCCCCGTGGATTCGACCCTTACTTGAGCACTGTACTACCGCAACTCGTGCACTTGCGAGGACTTATTAAATTGTCTATCAATTTTTGGCGCCGTTGCCGGGGAATTTGTTTAACTAGTTTTTGGAAAATTGTTAATTTAGTTTTATTTTAGTTAGTTGTGTTTGTTTTTTTTTTGTTTTTGTTGTTGTTGTATGCTTGGTCGCAGGTCACTTAATCCAGATTTGCTATCGCTGAACGACCAAGTTGATTTGATCGGTAAGAGGACAAAAAAGCGACTTGAATTTGCTCCTAATCCAAAAATGGGTGACGCTCAACTAATGAAAGAGTTTGGGAGGCCAACTGTAGGTGCCTCCCCGTCCTGCATTGTACTGATTGAGGCTGCCCGAAATTATGATCTGAAGACCGTTCATTTTAACCAATTGTCGTCTTTCCATGGGCTTGCTTCTGAGGATGCGCTGATCTTTATCCGAGATTTTTATGGCATCATCCAAAATTTCCCTTTGCAAGGAGTGACTGAAGATGAGCTGAGAATGAGGTGTTTTCCTTACACTCTCAAAGATGTTGCGAAGACATGGTTTATGTCTTTAACACCTGGTTCGTTGCGTACATGGGTTGATGTCTACAACAAATTTATTGGCAAGTATTATTCTCAGTCTAAAACTTCAGAACTGAGAAGAAAAATTGCCAATTTCACTCAAGCTGAAGACGAGCCATTCCATGAGGCATGGGAGAGATTTAAGATGCTGCTCACTCAATGCCCTCATCACGGCTATTCACTGGCGCTCCAGAATCAAACTTTCTATGACGGTTTGACACAAGAGAGCCAAGCTATTGTGGACAACGCAGCTGGAGGAGCAATGGGAGAGAAGACCGCAGAACAGACTTTAGAGCTTTTCGAGATGCTAGGAGCCAATTCACAACAGAAGTGTGTGCGGGACAGGACTCCATGAATTTATGAAGTGGGAGTTGGGACAGAATTAGCCATCCGGATGTCTGAGTTGTCTAAACAAATGAAGAACATGTGCTCTGTGATGACAACAATGAGCATGTCTACTCCCGTTGTGAATGATGTACCTGAAGTTGGTTTTGAGCAAGTCCACATGATGAACTCTTACAATCAAGGGAAGAAATGATCCATTCTCGAACTCTTACAATCCCGGTTGGAGGAACCATCCTAATTTCTCTTGGAGTAATACACAACAAAACAACCAGCCACCAACAAAACAACCAGCCACCACCACCTGTACAGAAGAAGCCATCTTTGGAGGATACTTTGCAAAATTTCATGCAAATATGCACCCAAAATCAGCAAGCAAATGAGAAGCGTTTTCAGTGCACTGAATCTTCTTTGAGGAAGTTAGAGATACAAGTGGGACAGATTGCTGACTCTTTCCAAGGACACGTGCAAGGGAAGCTACCGAGTCAATCTGAAGAGGCCAAAGCTATCACGGTTCTTAGAAGTGGGAAGATAATTGAGAAAGATGAACGATAGCCCATTTCTAAGCCACCAGAGAAGGTAGAAGCTGAAAATAAAGAAGTTGAGGCTGATCCAGTAGATGAGGAGATCGGGCTGCACAAAGCTGAAGATCCATATGTGCCGCCTAAGCCGTATGTTCCACCCGCTCCTTTCCCAAACAGGTTTAAAAGTTCGAAGCTTAACAAATCTTTTGATGATATTTATAACTTGCTGTCTAAAGTTAATGTGAATTTGCCTCTTCTTGACATGATAAAAAACATGCTTGCCTACGTTAATTTTTTAAAAGAATTGAGCACCAGAAAGCGTAGGTATGAACCGAATGAAAAAGTGTTTGTTTCTAAGGCGGTTAGTGATGTTTTGCAAAAAGATTTGCCCCCAAAATTAGAAGACCATGGCAGTTTTATTATCATCATTAATTTGGGGAATTCTAAATCTAATAAAGATATGCTTGACTTGGGGGCAAGTATTAATTTAATGTCTTATTCTGTTTACTTGAAATTAGGGTTGAATGAGTTGAAATCCACTACTATGTCCCTACAGCTTGCTGACCGCTCTATTAGATATCCAAGGGCATAGTAGAGGATGTTTTAGTTGAAGTTGATAAGTTGATCATTCCTGCTGATTTTGTTGTTTTAGATATGGATGATCAGTGCAAATATGTGAAAGACATGCCAATTTTGCTGGGTTGACCTTGTTGGAAATGTGAATATATAAATATTGTTTTGAGGGACACATTTTGGTATCCTAAGATAAACGTGTATTAAATACATAGAGGGGATTAATTATACATCAAAGAACAACTTACATATTTGGATTTAAATTATAAATAGAATCCATAGTTGTAAAAGTTGTAAAGTGATGTGTTAAAACCATGACTTATTTGTTCCATATTAGAGGATAAAAATGACTCGTATGATTATAAAAGTGATGTGATGTAATTGATGTCTTAAGTTTGGAGACTCTCTAATTGATTGAACAAAATAATTCTATGGTTTATTAGAACTGAACCGGTTTTTATTATTTGTTAATAATAAAAACGAGCAGTCTATGAGGAGAATATTATAGCTGATCGATTGTGAAATTGAATTTTTAAAATTCAAAATGATCGAGCATAATAAAGTGGCTATTGATGTAATCCTAGAAAACCTGAACAGGTTGGCCTTTCACCTCACATGCTATTTATTGAATATTTATCCTTGATTTCCGTTTCTAAAACCATCCCCTATCTAATCTTTATTCTTTATTATGCCATAATAATAATATAAAGAGACGTGTATGCATGTTTTTCAAAATAAGCCTTACGTAAGAAAGCAAAGTGGAGAATACTCTTTCAATTTTTTTGCCCTCTGCACGTACAAACAAAAGAAATCAGCCATATATTCTCTTCTAAATTGATCTTGCTTTCTTTAGAAGCAAACAATACTCCTTGTACGAGAGAAGAGTATCCATAGTTTCCTTCATTGAGTCTTTCTATTCAGTCAAGGCAATTTTGGCAACGGTCGAAGGTTTCAATCAAGATAGCTACGAGATTGAAACGTGGTAGGATTATCCTGGGAGCGGGCTAGCCAGACCCGTCCGAATAGCTATCGGTATACGGGGGCTATCTTTCTTCAAGGCCAGTCCGTTTTAACGGGCGATCCTGCGATAAGTTTTCCTACCTTACTATTTATTCATTATCCATTTATTCTACTTATTATTATTATTTTCTTTTTCTTGCATTTGGTGGTTTGTCTGGTGATTTGGTTTAAACTCGGGATTCTTATCTGGTTAAACTCGCACTTTTAATATCAATTTTCTAACAATCTTGAAGAAAGATATTATTTCTCGAGTTTTGGAAAATCCAAAAATGGCAAACTTGGAAAATGCTGTTATTTCCGAAAATGTTGTTGTTGAGAATGATGTGAATGATATCCTTCAAAATAATGTAAATTCTGTGTCTGTGACTAACTGTGGAGACACATCTGAATATGTTGCTACGGGCTCGCACAGGGTTGATTTAACCGGAATGTCGGAAAAATTTTCTGGGCATTTTTTCAAGCGTTGGCAACAACACATGAAAATTTGGTTAATCACCAAGGGCTTGCTCTCGACAATTATGACGGTGTGTCCCCCTGTTGTTGAATCGGATCCCAAAAGTCTTGAACGCCAAGCTTTATGGCGTGAGAGGGATGACATTGCAAAAGGCATGATTTTGTTGGGTCTCTCCGACATGTTATTTGATGTCTATTGCACCCTCCATGGCACGACTAAGGACATTTGGGATGAGTTGGATAGAAAATATAATACTGAGGACCACGGTCTTGAAAAATATATTGTTTCTAAATTCCTACGATTTGACATGAAAGAAGGTAAATCGGTGTTAGAACAGACACAAGAATTTGAGCTTATCTTACATTCTCTTCGTGAAGCGGATATGGAATTGCCTGAAAAATTTAAAGTGATGTCGGTCATAGAAAAATTTCCCAAATCATTGGAAGATTTTGGTATGACTTTAAAACATAAAATGAAAAAGATCACTTGGAAATCTTTGATGCATTCAATTACTGTTGAGGAGGAACATAAGAAAGCGGGTTATGTTGCGCCGGTTGAATTTCAGCCAAAGGCTCATGTATTGACCGGGGGAAAACAGTCACAAAATTCTAAAAATAAACAACCATCATCTTTTAAACCAATAAAGGCCAAACTAAAAATTATAAAGAAATCAAAGGCAAACCGTCCATGCTGGAACTGTGAACAGATGGGGCATTGAGCCAAATTATACCCAAACAAAAAGGCTAAGGCTCAATCTGTTGGATCTCAAGTCAACATGGTGACTGGAGTAACTAGTTCCGATGGGTATGTTTCTTTTAACCCTCAAGTTTTCACTATTTATAATTCCAATGAGTGGCTAATAGATACAGGAGCGAATGTGCATGTATGTGCTGATAAATCGCTCTTTGTTTCTTATTAGCCTGCGGTTGGAAGAACAGTGATGATGGGGAACACAAGTGCTGCAAGTGTGCAAGGAATTGGAAAAGTAGAAATAGAATTTTCTTCGGGAAAAATTATGTCCTTGCATGGGGTGCATCACGTTCCCGAAATTAGAAGGAACATTGTTAGTGGTTCCATTCTTGTTAGGGAGGGTTATGAATTGTCCTTTAAATTAAATAAAGTTGTAATTTTATTTGGTGGAACTTTTATTGGCAAGGGTTACTTGTCGGATGAACTTTTTAAGATTGTGGTTGATTATTTTGAATTAAATTATGTATCTGAGAATTGTGATTCTTCGTGTTTATGGCATTGTCGTTTGGGTCACGTTAATTTAGATTCTGTAAAAAGAATGATGAATTTAAATTTAATCCCTAAACACTCTATTGATAAAACTAAGAAATGTATGGTATGTGCTACTACTAAACAAGTAAGAAAACCTTATCATTCAATTGATAGAAATTCAGAATTACTTGATTTAATTCATACCGACATTTGTGAGTTTAATGGAGTGCTCACTCGTGACCAAAAGAAATACTTTATCACTTTTATTGATGATTATTCTGAATATTGCTATGTGTATCTACTTAAGGGTAAAGATGAAGCTCTTGAAAAATTCTTAATTTTTAAGAATGAAATAGAGAATCAAACTGGCAAGAAAATTAAAAAGTTAAGATCTGATAGGGGGGGGGGGAGAATATACTTCTAATTTAGTTGTACTAGAATGTCAAAAATATGGTATAGTACATGAAGAAATACCTCCTTATTCACCACAATCAAACGGAGTAGCTGAATAGAAAAATAGAACTTTTAAAGATATGATTAATAGTTTATTAGAAAATTCTGGATTACCTAAGTTTATGTGGGGGGAAGCCTTGAATACTGCATGCCATATTCTGAATAGAATTCCCATGAAACGTAAAAATAAGTGTCCATTTGAACTCTTGACGGGCCAAAAACCAAGTTTGAAATATTTTAAAGTGTGGGGCTGTCTTGCAAAAGTTTTAGTCCCTGAACACAAAAGAAAGAAACTTGGGCCTAAAACTGTTGATGCTATTTTTATTGGTTATGTTGAACATTCTTATGCATTGAGATTTTTGGTTATTAAATCTGAAATTTCTGGCATAGATGTCAATACTAATGTAGAACTTCGTGATGCTACTTTCTTTGAAGATGTTTTTCCAATGAAAACGGGTGTGTCCCAAAATACTTCTTTTAAAAATCAAGAAACCACATTTAATTCAATTCGTGATCAAGTGGAAAAGATGACAAATGTGGGGGTATAATCTAGTAATTCTAGTCATATTGATTTTGAATCAAATGATCTAGATGAGCCAAGAAGGAGCAAACGAGCTAGGATCACTAAGGATTTTGGAAGTGATTTTATCACTTACAATATTGAGGGTGATCCAATTTCCTTTAGAGATGCAATGGCCACATCCGAGGCCATTTATCGGAAGGATGCCATTAAAAGTGAAATGGACTCTATTGTTCAAAATGGAACATGGGAGCTCGTTGACCTTCCTCCTGGTTGTACTACTATTGGATGTAAATGGATTTTTAAAAAGAAGTTAAAACCAGATGGAACCATTGATAAATATAAGGCCAGATTAGTTGCTAAGGGTTATAAACAAAAAGAAGGTATTGATTTTTTCGATACATATGCTCCTATTGCAAGAATGACCACGATAAGAATGCTCATAGCATTGGCCTCTGTATATGGTCTTAAAATTCATCAAATGGATGTTAAGACAACTTTTATTCATGGTGACCTTGAAGAAGAAATTTATATGGATCAGCCTGAGGGATTTGTGGCAAAAGGCAATGAGAGAAAAGTTTGTAAATTAGTTAAGTCCTTATACGGACTTAAGCAAGCCCCTAAGCAATGGAACGAAAAATTTGATAAAATAATTTTTCCGTTTGGATTTACTCTTATAGATGCTGATCAAAGTGTCTATTATAAATGTAAAGGTGATATAAGTATTATTTTATGCCTATATGTTGATGATATATTATTATTTGACAGTAATGATAATATTATTTTTAAGACTAAGTCATTTTTGAAAACTAAGTTTGAAATGAAGGATTTGGGGGTGGTTGAAGTAATTCTTGGGCTAAAGTTGACTAGATCATCCGAAGGCATTTCTATTTCTCAATCACATTATATCGAAAAATTAATTGAGAAATTTGGATTTAAAAATAGTAGAATTGCTAAAACACCCTATGATCCTTCAGTAGCTTTATATAAAAATGAAAGTGGTGTTCCTGTGTCTCAATTAAGATATTCTCAGATGATTGGTAGCTTGGGTTACTTAGCTAACTGTACTAGACCTGATATTGCATTTTCAGTGTCTAAACTGAGTCGGTACACTTGTTGTCCAAATAGAACTCATTGGGAGGCCTTAAATAGAGTATTTAGATACTTGAAAGGAACAATTTCCTTGTGTTTGCATTATGGTAAATATCCTCCTGTTCTTGAAGGATATAGTGATGCAAGCTGGATAGCTAAGAACTCCGGGAGTTATGGGTGTACTGGTTATGTGTTTACATTTGGTGGTGAGGCTGTTGCTTGGAAGTCCACTAAACAAACTGTACTCTCTCGGTCTACTTTTGAGGCTGAATTATGTGCGTTGGATACTACAGGAATTATGGCTGAATGGTTTATGGGACTAATTTCTGAGTTACCTATATTCAGCAACCAAATTCCACCTATTTGTTTGCATTGTGACAGTATGAGTACAATTGCAAAAATTAGGAGTACCAAGTATAATCAAAAGACTAGGAGACACATTCAAGTTAGATTAAAAACTATAAGGAAATTTGTGTCTCAAGGAGTGTTTGCTGTTGATTTTGTTGGATCCAAAGATAATACAGCAGACCCTTTAACAAAAGGACTTGATTTAAATCAAGTGATAAAATCAAGGTTAAGAATGGGACTGAAACCCAATAATTATTCATCTACGGTGGCAACCCAACCTATCTGAGTGGAGATCCCATAAAGTAGGTTCAATGTGGTATAAACAAACCGTAGAGTGAATTGTGCATCTCATTAATATATTTTATGAGTTCTATTCCTTTTTTTTTGGATAAAATGTAAGTATATATATCCAGAAAAAAGCATAAGTACAATGCATCAAAACGATCAAAAATAACTATCTAAGCTAGCAAGCTAACCTAAAATAGTATAAACCGTATCCCCCCCCCCGCCAGGCGGGGGGAGGGGAGAGAGAGTTTTTTGGAAAACAAACGGCACGGGACAGGCCCCTGCTCGTAACACAAAAATCAGTAATCAAAAGGGACTAGTCTGTAAAAGGCCAGCCCATAAGCAAAATCCAGTCAAAGGACCACAATGTCCACCAAAAACTTCAGTTCTGGGCAAACAAACTCCCAGCTGTAGGCAGCACATCCGTCCAGCATAGCAGCAACGAAGCCCAAGAGCTAAGCCCAATCCAAATCCACGATTCCCGTCCAAAGCCCAACGCCCTGCGCAGCAACCCCTTTCCAACGGGCTAGGGTTTCATGCGGCCTGCCCAACCCGTTTAGCCCTCATCGTTTCAAGTCACAGCGCCGCACCAAACAAAACTCCAATTTCAAAAATTCAAAAGTGCACAGTAACCGACAGAAACAGGGGCGGTCCAATCGCTGACACCCCACGTCAGGATGCCGTTGACCACTCCGTTCCTCCCCGGCGAAAAATCCGGTCGATTCTCCGGTAGCCCAAAAACAACCCAGATGCTGTATTCGCACCCAGCACCAAGGCAATGTCAAACCACCCACCCCCACCGGTCTCCGGCGTCAACACGGCGGCATTGGTGGGTCACGAAACCAGCCGGAAAAAGTAACCAAGCCAGAACGTAGCTCCCCCCTCCACCCTCCACCCCCACTGGACCCTGGCGACCCCCAATGGCAACAGTAGACGGCGGCGGAAGGCGTTCTGACAGTAACCGGATTAAGTAAACGGCGACGGAATGAGTTCTATTCCTTGATAAGCCTTAGAGGTGCTGAAATTGCTAAGTTAGTAAGAGTTAAAGACTCTGAATGGGATCGAGCTTTAATAGCAGAGTGTTTGCAATGCACTCTTGGAGATGCCCAACTATGAGAATGTTATTGTCTGGCCGCAATAAGAGAATAAGGGTTAATTCTCAATGACATTCTTGAGACATGATCAGGATGCATGGCCGTAAAGCATCACACCTATAGATCGTTGCCATTGCCGTTAGTGTGTTGCTTTTATTCCACACCAACACATTCAAGGTTTGAGTTCAAGAACTCTGTTCACTCAGTTCCTGTGGGGGTTAGGGGTAAGAGCTTAGAATTTGGTTCAAACCGGAAGGTACCATATTTGAAAGCACACTATGTCTTAGAGTTGAGTCTACAACTATGGATTTGTGGGGGATTGTTGGAAATGTGATGATATAAATAATGTTTTGAGGGACACATTTTGGTGTCCTAAGATAAACGTGTATTAAATACAGAGAGGGGACTAATTATACATCAAAGAACAACTTACATATTTGGATTTAAATTATAAATAGAATCCATAGTTGTAAAAGTTGTAAAGTGATGTGTTAAAACCATGACTTATTTGTTCCATATTAGAGGATAAAAATGTCTCGTATTATTATAATTTTCAATTACAAGTGATGTAATTGATGTCTTAAGTTTGGAGACTCTCTAATTGATTGAAAAAAATAATTCTATGGTTTATTAGAACTGAACCGGTTTTTATTATTTGTTAATAATAAAAATGAGCAGTCTATGAGGAGAATATAACAACTGATCGATTGTGAAATTGAATTTTTAAAATTCAAAATGATCGAGCATAATAAAGTGGCTATTGATGTAATCCTAGAAAACCTGAACAGGTTGGCCGTTCACCTCACATGCTATTTATTGAATATTTATCCTTGATTTCCGTTTCTAAAACCATCCCCTATCTAATCTTTATTCTTTATTATGCCAGAATAATAATATAAAGAGACGTGTATGCATGTTTTTCAAAATAAGCCTTACGTAAGAAAGCAAAGTGGAGAATACTCTTTCAATTTTTTTGCCCTCTGCACGTACAAACAAAAGAAATCAGCCATATATTCTCTTCTAAATTGATCTTGCTTTCTTTAGAAGCAAACAATACTCCTTGTACGAGAGAAGAGTATCCATAGTTTCCTTCATTGAGTCTTTCTATTCAGTCAAGGCAATTTTGGCAACGACCGAAGGTTTCAATCAAGATAGCTACGAGATTGAAATGTGGTAGGATTATCCTGGGAGCGAGCTAGCCAGACTCGTCCGAATAGCTATCGGTATACGGGGGCTATCTTTCTTCAAGGTCAGTCCGTTTTAACGGGCGATCCTGCGATAAGTTTTCCTGCCTTACTATTTATTCATTTTCCATTTATTCTAATTATTATTATTATTTTCTTTTTCTTGCATTTGGTGGTTTGTCTGGTGATTTGGTTTAAACTCGGGATTCTTATCTGGATAAACTCGCACTTTTAAAATCAATTTTCTAACAGACCTTTTATGGCTACGACAAAAACCATGATTGATGTTCAAAATGGAAAATTGACCATGAGTGTGCTTGATGAAACTGTTGAGTTTTCCATTTTGAAATCCATGAGTATGCCGACTGATTCTAGTTCTTGTTTTGCACTTGATATTCTTGATCCTATTGCTCCTTTGGACAAGTTGCAGGAAGATGATCTTGAGAAAGGTTTTAACGAGAGTGCAAAAGTTTGCAAGAAGTGCATTAATTGTTTGCATCATAAGTCCATTTTAAGGAAAGATTTTAAACCTGGAATAAAAGTGTTGTTGCTTGATTCTCGTTTAAGATTTTTTCCAGGCAAAATAAAGTTAAAGTGGACTGGGCCATTTGTGGTTCGCCAAGTTTTTCCCGACGGTGCAATTGAGCTTGAAAATCCGAAATCCGGGAATATTTTTAAAGTGCATGGTGAGAGAATGAAGAGATATTCTTGTAATGAAGATTTGGTGGAGCAAGTTGAAAGCCTTGAGCTTTGGGAACACTGTTGCTCTTGTTGTGTTTAATCACATGTTTAAAAAAATAAAAAAAAAATAAAAAAAAAATAAAAAAAAATAAAATAAAAATAAAATAAAAAACTTTTACTTTAATTCTGTTTCTTTTTCCTCCCCACCTCGTTCTTTTTTTTCTTTCTTTCAGTTTTGCGGGTTGTTATTCAAAGTGCTTTCAGTTTCGGTTATAGAGCTACAAAGTGCATTCAGGGAGTCTTTCTTCCCCTTTCTCTTGTTTATTAATCTTTCATTGTGAATAATGTTTGAGATCGGTGTGGGGGAGGAGTAGCTGTCATTTTTATTTAGTTTTATTTTAGTTTCAAAAACAAAAACAAAAAATCAGAAAACAAAAAAAAACAAAAAAGAACTGCAGAAAAAAAAACTTTTTTTCGCTCGGATTCGAGGGAAATTTAATTTCATGATTACTTTTTTGGCTTCAAGTTGTGAAAAGTTTCCCTTTCATTGGTACGTGGTATGAATGGTGGTCTCCATGATAAGTTTTCTCTTGATTTTGCTTGAGTTGTTCACATTGTTTTTACTTGGAGTCAATTTCCTAGCTTGTTTTGGCATTAATTTGGATGTATTTCTCAATTCTTTAAGACCTTTTAGGATGCATCTTTAACTTTCTTGGGAGGAGTGTGAGTCCTTTGTCTTTTAGCTAGCATGATAGAACTTTTCTTGTTGCTCTTTTGGAAGCTAAGTTATTGTGCAAGTTGATTGAGAAGTGATCTAGGCCATTTTTCATAGCCCCAAACCTTTTAGCCTACCATTTGCATTGTATTTCCGCTTGCTACCCCTTTGAGCCTAATTTGTCTTGGAGCATTTTACCGTGCTTTTGACAAGTAGTTTCTTTGTGATTACCCATCAATATTGACCCCGAGCCCAAATAGCCAAAATTATCCCTCACCCTTGAGTTGACATTTTTTTTACTTAAATTGTGATTGAGAAGAGTTTTCATCTTATTAGAGAATTTTTTACCCAGCAGATTGTATAGATGTAATATTGTTACGACAGTTTGATTTTTTCTTTTTAGAAATAGTGTTGATATAGCATTAAAAAAAAGCAAAAAAAAAACTGAAAAAAAACAGAAAAAGAACAAAAGAAAAAAAAGTGAAAAAAGAAGATGAGTTGAGTTGAAGTTTGTATTCTTTTCACTTTCTGTATGTACTTCGTTATCTTAGAAGCTGGTTGATTGTTGTAATATTTTTTTGTGCTCCTTAAGCATATTTTGAACTCTTCTTAGGATCAGTTTGGTATAGAAAATGTCTCCCCTTTGTTTGAACTCCACATCCTTTCTTTCTTTAAACCACTACCCACGGCCACGTTACAACGCGAATAAAAGTCCTAAGTGATCTTGATGAGTTTGTACTTTGATAAGGTGGAAGGAAGAGCATAAGATGACTATAGAGTGCTCACCGAATGACTTCGGATTTTGCATAATTTCTGTGGAAGTTACTTGAGCATCTCACTAGGTCGTTTAGAATTGTAAAATACATATCTATTAATGACATGTGAGTCTCGGTAATTGACTTTTGAGTTGGGCTTTGTGGTGGATACTTGATTCGAATTTCTTGGGGATATCTTGTCATGGATGAGCTTGTTGGAATGCTTGGTGAGTGAAAGGGAATTTTGATCATTTGTTGCTGAATTTGTTTCTTGATATTAATTTTCCTTGAGGACAAGCAAAATGTAAGTGTGGGGAGTTTGATGAGCTAGAATTTTACTTCTTTTTTACATTATTTTATTACAATTCTAAGCTTATTATTTGCCTACTTGAGAGGTTTGAGTCTTACTTTTGTGTTGAAAATGATTTTTAAAGTGCAGCGGTTTTAATGGAAGGATTTGAGGATTTATTGGGTTGAATTGAGAAGAATAGTGCCTTTTTATTTGGAGTGCAAGTCCAGGGACTATTTGTAAAGTTGGACTTATTTTCAAACTGAAACAAAAGAAAAGAGGGGCTGCATCCACTTACCAGCAACCCAAAATCAAGAGAAAAAGGGAAAAAAAGTCCAAGAACAAAGAGGAGTGCTAGCGGGTCTACTTTAGCGGGAAAAAATGCTGGAACGGTTGTTTTCCTGGCTGATAAAAACTGCAGCAGTAGGGTTTTTGGGTGGATTCGGGCTGCCAAGGCTGGTTGGGAAGGAGAGCCGGGCTGCTTAGCTGCTCTCTGCGTACGAGGATTCTTTCTACAAAAGAGGGAGTGCTGGCCGGAGAAAATTCTTGGAATAGAGAGCTGCATAAATCTGGAGGCTACCCTTGTGGAAGATTTTCTCCACTTCAGGGGTTAGCTTAATTGTGTTAGAGCTTTGGTTCCTTGCTTCTGGTATTTTCGAATTTAGCAGTTCGGTAGTTTGCCGCTTCTCTCAATTTTGACCATTAAAATGGTTGAGGTTGTTCTTGCCATGCTTGTTATTTTAGTTAACAAAGTTATTGTTATGAGTAGCTAAATTCTTAAGTCCGGATTATGATGAAGTTGCTATGATTTAGTATAAATTGTGATTTTAGTTATGTCAATAAGTCAATTGATTGAGTTTTATCCATTGTTCTTATTCGCTTAATTTGTTGTGTTAACTTCCGGCCAATTCTAATATGATTAATTAAGTTATTTGAGTGGATTAATAGAGTACATGCCATGCCTATTAGTTCGAGCTCTTTTGGATAAAAGAATAGATAATTCAGTTGTCTTGTTAGGTTATCTATTTGGTTCTTAAATCGGGTTTCCGTAGTTCTTTTGTGACTAATGGATTTTAACTATTGAATTAATAATTTCTAATTGATTAATAGTTAAAATACGTGACTTATTCTGGACGCCATACGAAATAGTCATATTTTTGTCTAGAACGAATCCTCAATTTCAATTGAATAACTAAATCACAAATACTAAAAATTAGTGACATATTCATAATCCTGGACTATCTTTTCTTTTGCTAAATTCTCATTCGTTTTCCCGTTAGTTGTTTAATCATTTTATTTTCATTCATTTAAATTCCTTGCATCCATTTTAATTCAAGCTTTACTTTTCAGTTTCAAATCAAATAAATTCAAAATTCATTTTTTTTAGTTAGATTAATTTCACTTTTATTTTTATTAATAGTTTTCTAATTACTTAGTTGCATTTTCCCGTGGATTCGACCCTTACTTGAGCACTGTATTACCGCGACTCGTGCACTTGCGAGGACTTATTAAATTGTCTATCAGTTACCGGTTTCAAGGCTTCCCTCTGGAGGCCGATCTCTAGGAAGGTGTTCATGCACATTATGTTGATTGAGCTGCCATTGTCTATGAGAACCCTATGGACAATCACGTCCATCACTTCCATCTTTACAACTAGAGCGTCCCTGTGGGGTAGAGGACAAGGTGGAAGGTCGTCATCTGTGAAGATGATAGATTCCCGCTTCTGTTTTTTGTCAGCAGGTAGGCGGTTAATCTCGCTGATGAACAGTTAATGACTCCATTTCTTCCTCTCCCATGCGGTGTCTCCTCCCATAGGTCCACCATAGATCTGGTTGACATGTGGACGTTTCTGCCGGCTTGAACCTCCCCGCTCCTCGTCATCCTCGAATTGGGCTCCGACCTCCCTCTTCCTAGAGGTTGAAGCGAGCTTGTCTTTTTCCTTGCCCCAAGTGCCCAGGTGTTCCTCTTTTGAGGAGTCTGTCCCTGCCGGGTCTTCTCCACGAGCTGGTCCAGCTATCCTTCACGGATGAGCCTTTCCACGTACTTTTTAAGGGCATAAGAGTCGTCAGTTTCGTGAGTGTCGCTCTTGTGGAGTTTGCAATACTTACCTCGAATGGCCTGGTTGATGACAACGTTGTAGTTCTCAAACCTTGTTTGACCGCATAATCCAGGAAAGTGTTAACTGGATGCGTCAAAGGTGAAAACTCTGGTCGTGGGTTTCCTTTTTTGCTCTTTTTCTTTCCATCTTCAGGTTGGTACTTTCCTTCCTCCTCTTCTCGCTTCTGTTTTTGAGCCTCTTCCACCTTGGCCTGCGCGTCTGCTCGGTGTAGGGCCTCCTCGTGTGAGGTCGGGGGGCACCGTACAAACTCCTTATACTGCTCGCCCGACCTCAAGGCATTGGTGAGAATGGCGACGATGGATCTGTCATCCACGTCGTCCACGTTCACCGATTCATCTCTCCAACGACCTAGGAAGGCGATTAAGCTCTCCTGACGTCCTTGTTTGACTCCCAGGAGGTGAGAGAAGTTTTTCTTGGAATCTTTAGAACCGGAAAATCGTACCAGTCTCGGACTGGCCCGTCCAACGTCACCGAGAATCCTTTGCTCCTGATTGCATCGTTATATCCCATTATCATCATGTAGGCTATGTACCTAGAAACATGATGTTGGGGGTCAGTCTTCCCCCGATAAGCCTCAATGTTACAAGGCTTATACCCTTGTGGTAGCGGGGCATCCATAAACTGGTTGAGGTTAACTCGGCCATATGTCGCCCCCCTACGCTCGTCCAGTCTCCTCCTGAGGTCATCGTCGTCATGGTCTGTCCGGGCTTGGGGTGAAGAAGAGCATTCTCCGTGGGCCCGCCAATTTGCATTAATCTCATTCCGGAGATCTCCCCACGCGCACAACGATAGTGGGAAGAGACAGCCGCAGATGACGCCTCCTCACTTCGTTCCGCCCGTAAGGAGAGCCTATCATGCACAGAGACCCTTCGACCTCCAATCCTATTCATCATTGAGGTTCTCAAGGATTGTCTGGAATGATGAGATCGCTGAGACCTTGCCGGTGGAGAATTCCTTTGCCGCTGTGCGGATACCCCCTCATTCCGCTGGGGAAGAGATGGAGCCCGACACAGAGACGAAGGTCTTTCATTGGTATTGGGGACAATTCCTTGGAAGGCAGTGGTTAATGTTTCCACGACCCTCTGGAACGTAGCCAAACTCGCCAAAGCTTGTGCTGGATCTACGTTGGGAATGAGATTCTTTGTGGTCGGCGTCCGGAACTGTGCTGGACGCGTTTCTGGACGCCTGGAACTCCCAACGCCTTGCAATTGCTTCCTCAAGTCACCCTGAGTCAGCACGTTATCATTTCTCCTCCGGAAATCGCTTCGCCGTGACTTAGACCCTTCGTCTTCGATCACAGCTTGATCAAAACGTGCACCACCTTGATTGCTACCAACACGGTTGTGACTGTGTGATCCAACCATCGTCGTCGTAGATCGTTCTCTCAATGAGAGCACCAAATGATGGAGTTTAATCCAACTACAAGAGCTGTATCTACGAGAGCAGATGAAATTTGGATAGCGTAAGACAGTATTATTATTCCGGAATTCGGTCCTTTGATAGGATGTACATTGGAAGTATTTATAGACCCTATGTACTAGTATTCTAAGAGGAAACTGATACATTAAATGCTATTAATTGAATAAGAGTCCGGTAATGCCTTGGACGTTGTGCAGTGATTGCTTCCTTCAGGTCCACGTTTCTTGCGTTATTCCTGCCTGCTGCCAGATAGCTATGCACGAATTAATGATAGTCTGCCTCATATAAGCCCTGGGAAGAGTCCGACCTCGCTAGAACTCCGCCCAGGCTCGAGATCTGCTATCCAATCTGGCCTGGTTATGGGTTCCTTTCGCGTGTAGGATTCCTAGTTAGGCCCAACGAATAATTTAATATTAATCCCGTTAAGGGCTGATCCCGTTTATGGGTTTTATCCCGTTAAGGAATGATCTCGTTTATGGGCTTTATTACAAATTCACACTTGGACCATGACCGTAATCCATGGTACGCACCATCAAAGATATATTGCTTCCTCGAATTTGTTTAACTCTAAATCTAATTCAAGAGCTGATGATCGGGTGAAGACTTATAATTGTATTGTAACTTGCATGGATTGTGATATTTTAATATACGAGTAAGTCATTTACATTAAAAAAGACCTAAAATATAATAGATTTTAATTTATTTACATTTTTATTAATTGCATTTCTAATTTTTTGATAAATTTCTTCTTCATATTATTTTAATAAGATCAAATAATATTTGATTTTTAAATAAAATAATATTAATGTCCATGAAATTCTAGGTCCTAGATTAAAAGTTTTTTTCACATTAAAGTGAGCATATGTAGTATTTTTTTCACGATATCATATACTCCCTCCGTCCCATTGGACTTTGCGAACTTTCCTTTTTTTGTTGTTCCAAAAAAATTTGTCACTTTCCTATTAAAGCGACTAATTTGTGGTTCTGCACATTTTCTCCTCTGCACAAATCTCAACCACACAGTTTTTACTTTTCGTATACCTCACTTACTTGGCAAGGTCCAACGAGACGGAGAGAATACACTTTATAAAACATGAATGCATAAATCATTCGAGCAAAAATCACGTTAAAGTAAACCAGTGTGCCAAGAGCCCAAGACATTCATGTTTTATAAAACCTGAATTTAAAGTCAGGGTCGTCTAATGAATTTGGAGATCGTGGTTCCAAATGTAAAATTGAAGCTCCATATATGAATAAAAGTAAAATAACATATAATAACCACTCACATAGTTCAACAAAATTAATTGTGTTCAAGTGTTCATATAAAAACCTTATAAAACGAGATTTAACTTAACTGCATATTAATATTATATTAATACTAATATTACAAAAAATTGGGGACCCCCAAATTTGGTTGGTCATGTTTTGAATGACCTACTGAACTTGCTAAAACACGGTCCTATTTAAAATAAATATACTTATATGATGCTTTTATAGTTTTATTAGTACATGAGTTTAACTTTTAAGTGATAATTTGAAAATACCGGAAGAACCTAATGTTGAAAAATGTGTTAAGAAATTGCATTAAATGGTCATTTTGGGGCAATATTTTGAGTGGGGCACACTTCCGGTTTGGGTCAGGTCAAAGTGGTTTCGGATTGTCCTTGTTAAGGGCTACAATCCGATATGTGGTACACTCAAAACGGATAACGGGTGAATGAGAAATTGATTCTCAAAGTTCTGCCCGTTGGAGCCGCCTGCTCCCAGGCAGCCACCTGCTGAGCCGCCTGCTCAGCCGCCTGCTGCCCTCAGCCACCTGCTGAGCCGCCTGCTCGCTAGCAGCCTGCTGCTTCCGTTACAGATATTAAATGCCCAACGTTCCTTACAATTAAATGGACAGTTACGGACGATTTTCCGAGACACACCCAACAATCTTAAAACGTATTTTCTGAGCTTGTATCATACGGATACAATCTTAAAACGTATTTTTCCAAGCTTGTATCACACGGATACAATCTTAAATCGTAGTTTGTCACTTTGGTGAACGAACTTAATTTTTTTTTGTGTTTTCGGTAAGCGTAAGAAAATGTTTAAAATGGCTTCACAAGAAATTGGAAATGTTGGTGGGCAGAACGTGCCAAACGATAATCAATCTGAAAGTGGAGCTCTGGTGAACAATGGTTCACAACGCGGAGCATCTACTTTGGGCAACCAAGGGGCAATCCCTATGGTTACCGTGCCGAGCAACTCTGTGGAGAAACCCGAAAAATTTAATGGGTTAAACTTCAAGAGGTGGCAGCAAAAGATGCTATTTTATCTCACTA